GTGAATGCAGCATTGGCTTGCTGTAAGGTTGAGGTGATGTATTCATGAGAAACATGAATATCATACTGAGCACGTGCTGCTCCCATTTCCAGTAAGAAGCAGTGTAATAATTGGTGGCAGCAAGACAGGCTTTTTATTCTGTGTGGAAATGACAAATGCCATGGTAACTTTTCTGAAATGTTGGCATAAGTCAGAAGTAGGAGGAGCTGGTCATTTACTCTCTCTGCTTATCCTGAAAGAAATAAATAGCTTGAAGAGGATTCAGCAGAAATTTATATACTTTTTAAAATATAAGTTGCACAAATGGTCATCAGCTTTATTATTTATAAACAGCTGACAGTGTTGTTTGTAACAATTCTCATTGGCTGGTGCTCCTGCTGTTACCTGTTTTGCTGGTGGCACATGTTTCGAGGTGACAGTGCATGTAGAAAGCAGTGACAGAACATTGAATTAATTCAGACAGCTTTGCTTTTTATATATAATTAATTATTGCTGTTGAATTATGTTTATATAAGCAATGTAAGTTTAAAAAGGAGGCTCGTGTTTTTACAACTTCTAACAATATTACAAGCATGTGGGCAGCCATCATTATTTACTCCAGGTCTCAGATTTGTTGGATAAACACCCTCTTCAGTACTTTACTGTGAATGTAAAATCGTGTTTTTGAAGTAAGTTAATGTGCTGAATTAATGGTCAGTCATGGTCACTTGCTTTCCTTCCTGTGTTGCCATACGCAGTGTCCAGATTCTGTTAGGACTGTGTTCATTAAAAATACAAGATGTGAATTATTTTCAAAATTTCACTCTTTTTATTCAAAATAGTCTCCTTTTGTGGAATCACATTTAAAACTGGTACATTCCCTTTGGATGTCCTGGATGGTGTCATGACGGTCTCCTGTCATTGCCAACTTAACTTTGGGAACAACCAGAAGTCTGCTGGAGCCAAATCTGGCGAATATGGAGGATGATCAAGGACTGTGTTCCCTTTTCTGGCCAAAAAATCGTGCACAATCTTTGATTTGTGGGTGGGGCATTGTAGTGGAGGAGTGACCAGGAACCTTGCTCTCGATATTCAGGTTGAATTTGAAGAATTCTCACCCACAAACAATTGAGGACTCTGAGATAATAATCAGAATTCACTGTTTGACCTTATGGCAGTAATTCCTTGTGAATGATTCCTTTGGAATGGTAGAAAACGGTTAGCAGTGTCTTTACTCGACTGCTTTGCATGCGCACTTTGGTTTCGGCTTCTTTGGACTCATATTGAAAACATCATGTCTCGTCACCAGTAAAAATTTATTTTGTAAATTTTGTACCATGTTGGGCCTACTGTAACATGTCTTTGCAGTGTTGCACTCTGGCATGTTTTTCATCGCCTGACAGCAAGTGCAGTACAAACCGTGCACAGACCTTCCATTTGTCCAATCCTCGGTCAAAATTTGATGCACAATACTTTTTGGAGTTCCCAAAAGCTCCTCGATGAGTCTTGCAGAAACACATCTGTGTGATGCAAGGATTTCGGTCACTTTTTTCACATTTTCTTCAGTGCAACTTGTTCTCATCTTTGATGTACGTGGAGTGTCTTAGATGTCGTCCTTGCCGTCACGAAATACAGCATACCATCGAAAAATGTTTGAGCGACTCAGTCACTGCTGTACACACTTTCATCATTTTGTACGCTTCTTCGGCTGTTTTGCCTAACTTCAAACAAAATTTGATGTTGGCTGTCTGTTCAACTGCCATTTTCTGGCGAGCATCAGAACAGTACTGTTACATTCAAGGTCAGAACACATGATTCAGCAATGCTTGCATTTTGAAATTATAGACAGCCACAGCTGGAACATCAAGAATCTGAATGCCACAGCTCGCCAACAGATGGCATTGCAGGGCAAAATTAAAGAAAATGAGTCCTAACGGATCCTGGGCACACCGTGTATGTCGTGTTGTGGTCTGTGAATGATGATGATGGCAGGAACTGGCTCTTCAGCTTGGTTGGTGTTACTGACATTTTTACTTTGTGGTTGGGAGCCCTGAGTCACTTGAGGAGTGACATGTGATTTACCTTTTTCACTCACTGGTGAGGCCATCTTGTCGCACCATCTGACCAGCAGCTATTGTGTGGGACAGATGTTACTGGTCATGTGATGGTAGTTAGGGGTTTGAATTTAATTTCTGTTTTGGTTGCAGTCTTAAAATGATTATGACTGCAACTGAGACATGTTAGTGCTGGAGCCCATATGTTCAGCATGTGTAAATTTTTAAGGGCCAGTTTTGTTAGATGGACATTGGGGAATATGTTATTAATACATGTCAGCAAGAGCACACCATTATGGAATGGAAGCAGAAAGAACATTAACTTCTGTGAGGAAAATTGTGAAGGAGGTAAAGCTGTTCCTTCAACAGGCTGTGGAGTCCCATAGGGTTCTGAGAGGTTGAGGTTCCAACATTTTATAGACAGTCGGCTCATAGGTGGCAGTGGGATTGTGGGCCTTATGCACTGGCTGCCATTTAACCCTCTAGGAAGATTCCTGGTACTCATTTCTGTTATAGGCTGAGTCGACTCCAGGGCCATAGTGCAGCTGGAAGGATTAGTAGGTCAATTGAAAAATCCAGTGACCTAATCAGGAACGAAACCTGTGATCTTCTGGCTTGTAGCACAGTGCCCCAACCAACTAGCTATGCTACTACTTTCCCCATGAGGAGAATTGTAGTTGTTAGAAAGGGTGATGAATGGGAAAATCTTAACAGATCATAGAAATTGGGTGTTAAGAAAGCCTTCTGAAGTTAAAGATACTGTCCTTCTGTTTCTTGTTGTTACTGTGGGACTGAATATGGGCCACCTCCGAAATTATGTGGTCTTGAAATGAAAAGAAATTTTATGGACTTTCAATGTTACAACAGAAGGAAGATCTCTAGCTTATGCATGTTTTATGTTTCTTATTTTATGTAATGTACACACTACTTAAGTAACGGGCTATGGGCTGGACAACTGAGGGGTTGGAGTTCAAGTCCTGGTAGGGTCAAGAATTTTCTCTTCCCCATGTTGTCCAGGCAGGCCCTGGGGTCCACCCAACCTCCTATCCAGTGGGTACCAGGGGCTCTTTCCTTGGGGGTAAAGCAGCTGGGATATGACGCTGACCATTCACCTCCAGCTAGTGCCGAGATCAAGAAAATGTGGATCTATTATACATCCACTCCCCCATATGCTTTCATGGCATAGTGCTTAACTGGTTAAGCACAGAGACAACTTTATCTTTACCCTACACATTACTTAAGGCACGATTTAATTTTTGGGTTTGACAATGGGTTTTAGTAACGTCACACATGTTGGGTATGATGTGTTCCCAGTTGGATGCCACTAGTTGCTAACATAAATCAAGTTTGGCATCGATGTTTTGGTTTAGTCAAGGCTAAAGCATCACTTCTTAGTCATAACAGCAAACTGTGTACCTTTACTGGATCAGCCAACCAACTCCGTGGCCTGTAGTCTGCAAGCGAACGATACCGACTGCAGCTTGTCAGCAAAGTTAGTGCCAACAGCCAATTTCTTCTTTAAGAACTACTGCACTCTGATTTGAAAGCGCCAGTTTTGGGAGTAGGGTGTCGTTTGTATTAGAGCAAATTGATTTAAAGCTATCCCTGTAACAAAAGACTGGAGGCCCATATGGTAATGAGACATCGAGGCTCTCACGTTTTCTGGACAGTTGGCTCACAAATGGCGGTGAAGTTGTCAGCCTTACGTGTGTGATGGCTGCCTTTTACCCGCAGCAGGATTCCTGGTATTCATTCTTATCTGTTAGAGGCTGAGTTGACCCCAGGCCCATGGTGTGGCTGGAGGGATTAGATCAGTTGAAAAAATCCAATACTCTCATTAGGAATTGAACCCGGGTCATTCCATGTGAAATCATCCAGAAAGGTCGCTCACCATTTTTAAAAAAAATTATATTTTGTACACTTATTTATACATATTTTCATACTACAAAAAATTTTTTAAAAAAATTCTAATCCGCTCAGTTCTCTCGGTACAGGCGTTTTTATAATGCGAAAAAACGCGTTTTCGGCTGAAATGGAGGTTTGCGTTATCTTCCATATCTCGATAACTATTGAAGCTACAGACTCCAATAAAAACGCTATTTGTTCCTCATGATATGGACTACAAATCATATTATTACAAGTTTTTACTCAGCTCACTTTCTGTAGGTGTAATTAAACTTGAAACTTACCTATCGATTTTGGGAAAAACGCTATTTTTGACCTTCAAAAACCAATGGGAGGGGGAAAGTATCAGATCTGTG